TCTGCAGGGAGCATGTGTTCCAAGATCCCCAGTGGGCGCCTGAACCCAAGGATAGTACTGAACCCTGCGTGTGGTCCTTACGTAATGTGTTGAGGAGTTTAGCCTGTCAGTCGGCTCACGGCTTGATGACCTCATTTGGAAGCCCTAAGGAGATGAAGAGCTCACTGGAGGCGGGACACACGCTCACTCCCTAAGAGACATTCCTGTTGAGAAGACACATGGAGCTGTGCTGGCACCCTGGAGCTGAAGGAGCCACGTGGAGACCACACCAGCGCTGAGATGCTTAAAACACCACTGGATCCACAAGACTTTCCACCCACTGACCTGTGATCGTCCTGCATTTGGCATCATTGCATCTGTTTCGTGAGTCTAAAGAGGACTTTATAGCTTGGTATGGGACGTATGGGCTAATATCAGACTTAAGGACTTGGCTGGGATGTGTTCTCAATAGTCAACTGATCTTGTATATAAAGCTCTTGCTGATACACATAGGAGTCTCCCTGGATTTGTTTCTCTAGTCTACCCGGATTCATCCACTGCAGCAATGGGCTCACGCATGACGGTGGTTAAGGTGGCAGTGCTTCCTGCTGACCACATAGAGAAGGTCGCTGTGAGTCGGGACCGAGTCGATGGCACCTGTCAGCCGCCTGTATGCTATGTCTTGCCCTGTGCGTGCAGACCTCTGATCGCTACGTTCATCCAGAGAGAGAGGAACAACAATAACTGATAGTGGAATAGAAGCATTATCACGGTGATATGGGTGGCTATAGCACCTCTAGTACAGAGACAGCTGCCAAGTACCAGATGGCCCTGGACAGGGAGCTATGCTCCAGGGCACAGGGGCATCAAGATGGCAGGAGATTTTATCGCCGTCCTCAGACGGGCTCATAGTGGAGACCATCTTCCCCACCACTCAGACCAGGATCTCTATCCCCAGAGCCCTCCTGAGCCGCAGGGTCACCAGCTGTGCCCCCCAGACTGTCGGCCGCTCTGAGCTTCGATAGCAGCACAGAGTGGTGTTCTGCTTGGTCTGCAGGAAGAGCCCTTTGGAACTGGAATTGCAATTCAGAAATGCCCGGAGGGTGTGTCCATATGGTCTGTTTATTCTGACACCGTCCCCACCCCTGGCAGCTATTTGGGTTCAGTGCACTTGAGTAAGGTTGCGATGACAACATGCGCTGCCTCAGCCAGTAGGGGGGCGGCTTTAGCGAAGAAACCCTGAAAGGATTCTTTCTGATTCCATTCTTTCTCCGCCACTGTACTGTTGTTGCTGTTGGATGCTCATCATTGGGGGGAATTCAACCCACCACGGAAAAAACAAACAAAACGCTGCATCTTCAGGAGTGCCTAACTGGAGAGAGACCCTCCTCCCCAAGCCTCTCTCCACTCCCAGAGCAGAAAGAAACTGGTTATGTACAATTCCTGCGGGTGTTTCACGTACTTATCTTCTGAGCTCCTTGGTCTCTTGTCTCATATAAGATTCCTCAAATTGCCAGACAGTGAGCGAACGTGTCCTTTGCAAGGTTCGTTTCTGTCGGAGCCAACCAAACCCATTGTTGTCAGATGCCACCAAGCAACACCGTGCACACCAGAACAAGACCCTGCTCTGCCCTGCGCCGTCCCGACAGTCGCTGGTAGATGCGAGCCATTTCTCCTACACTCCCATGTCATCCATGTCCTTTGCAGCAGTTTCTTCTCATTTTGAGTCTTGCTCCGTCGACAGATGAAGGAAGGGCCTGAAAGCTTTGCTCCCTCCGTGTCATCAGGGCCCGTTTGCCTTGAGGAGGCAGCTCTTCCCTGGTCGTGATTTGAGTTCCTTTCAACCCGAGGGGGCTCCTTTTCTGGCAGAATATCGGACAACGCCCTGCTGCTGTTTAGAAGCTTTTCCCTGGCCAGTGTCTTTCCTAGTCGTCTTAATCCTGGAATCCTGGAAGCTCTGCTGAAACGTGCCCACCACGGGGTGACCCCGCTGGTACTTGAAATCCCAGTGGTGTCATCTGCAGTGTCACAACCACGTGCAAGCCACCACAGGAAGTGCGGCCAACTGACCGAGCGCTGGAACCAAGCCCAAGCAGTAGTCCTTCCTGAGGGCCGGCCATGAGTTTGTATGGTCAAATAGAGGTAGACGAAGACGAGGGAAGTCCTCAGTGGGATGGGTGAGCCCGAGCCCTCTGATGCTCTTGCAGGTGGCATGCAACCAGACAGGGTTTCAGTCTTCTGTCGGTCGCTGTGCATCAGCGCTGACTCAGTAGCAACTGTCAGCAATTATGGGCACGGTGCGTGTTGATGTTTCCCATTTGTCCCTCTATGAGTTAGGGGCTTTCCCAGTTTTCGAGACAGGAAACAAAAACTTGCCGGGCTTCAGCACACGCCAGTGATGAAAACGGCGAGGCTGGAATTTGCACCTCGGACCATCTGACTCAACACCTAGTCTATTAACCATTAAGCAGTGCACCTTCCCTCCTCAGTGGAAAACCAAGCCAAACCCATGGCTTCTGGAAAAGATTCCAACTCAGAGAGAACCTGTAGGGACCAAGGAAAACAGCCTCAGAGGGTCTCCAAGGCTGTGGTCCTTAGGGAAGCAGGCTGCCACATCATCTTCATGCCGAGTGGTCCATGGGTTCAAACCACACCGCCGACCTCTGTGTTTGCTGCCGAGGGTTTAATCCCTGGGCTACCAGGGTCTCTCGCTTCTTCACTTGTGATTGGGTGCCAGCGAAGGGTTTCAGACTCCCAGGGGCCCTCTGCGCTCTGGCACTGCGCCGTCCTCACAATCTTTGCTGTGTTAGAGCCCGTTGTTGCAGGCCCTGTGCCCGTCCACCTCACGGTGGGCGGTGGGGCCGGGGGTCTTTCTCTTTTCTACTTTACCAGGCATGATACTCTCCAGAGACGGACCCTCCTGGCAACGCGTCTCACCGTCCTCTTCTTAGGAGGCAGACTTGTCTGTTCTTGGGGCAGTTTATGATGTACACATTGTCCTTTCTAGCAGACCTCCACTTGCCTCATGGATGGTGAGAATCTTCTGGCAAGCAGTGCTCCGGCGAGTGCTCTAGGCCTGTTCCCGTTCTTCTCCCACACAAGCCTTCCAGGTGGGCTTGTCTCCCAGTGGGACCTGCCTGGTGGTAGTTGCTGCCCCGGGTGTGCTGTATCTCCCTGCCCTAATCCTTTTGTCCTTGTGTTCCACCAGTTATCCTACTCCTGCTTGGAAGTGGATCCGATTTCCACTGTCATCACGCCAGCCTGCGCTGAGCTCATCCCCACCCCCAGCCCCCTTCCCCCGCCCTCTTATCACTTCATTCAGATCAGTGTGGTTCTCAATCTTCCTGATGCTGCGACCCTTTAATACAGTTCCTCATGTTGTGGTGACCCCCAACCATCAAATTATGTTCGTTGCTGCTTCATCGCTGTAATTTTGCTACTGTGAAAGGGTTGTTCAACCCCCAGGTTGAGAACTGCTGATTTAGCTTCTCCAGTGGTGCACGGCTTTTGTACCTCCACTCCCGAGCTTGCCCAGTGGCAGACATCACTAGTCAATGGCTGCACTCTTTCCCATTGAGCTCTGCCGGGGGCCTCAGCCTCTTCACAGTGTTGCTGCAGGCAACCTCTGATCATCCAGTAGCGGTGGGAAGACGTGCCCAGTGAGATTCCCGTGAGGAGGTAGGGCCTCAAACTCAGCAGAGATGGGGTCTCTGGTGGGAGACACAGAGCTGAACCCTGCTTGGTGTCTTCCATCTTTGGGAAGCAGTTGTGCAGGCCCTGAGGTGTGGGCGGTGCTGGCGGGGAGCCACAAGGCAGGGAGAGCTTTCCAGGACAAGAGGCACCCCCTGGGGGAACATTCTGGCGAAGGAGGGAGCTGCTGTGCCTGGAGGGATCATGCGCCCTGTGAGTGGGAAGGCCGGGAGAGGGGGCGGGCAACTGCAGGTGGAATCTAGATGCCGCCACCTGCCCAGCGTTGAGTTGCGGGGTTTTATTTCTGCACTTCTTCACCCCTCAACTTCCTGAGGATAAGAATTCTGTCTTCAGGAGCTCAGGAGGGCCCTGAAGCTCCTGAGAAAGTGCTGGCTACTGAGGGTTGAAATGGCTGGGCCAAATTGTACAGCCTAATCCGTCAAGGGTGGGAGAGCTTTGGGGGATGAGTTGTGTTAGTCTGGGTAGACTAGAGAAACAAATCCATGGACACACATATGAGTATTAGAAAGAGATTTATATACAAGAACAATTGAACATTGAGAAAACATCCCAGCCCAGTCCAGATCAAGTTCATAAGTCCGACATTAGCCCATACGTCCAACACCAATCCATAAAGTCCTCTTCAGACTCACAAAACACATGCAGTGACGCCGAATGTAGAAGCTCACAGGCCAGTGGGTAGAAAGTCTTTGGATCCAGTGGCGTAAGCATCTCAGCGCTGGCAGGGGTCTCTGCATCAGGGTGGGGCCCTGTGTCTTGTCAGCTGCTCTGTCTCCCAGGGAGTGGCAGAGAGAGAAGTGTCTCCCGCCTCCAAGGAGGAAGTGCCGGAGTTCCCAGAATTCTCAGGAGAAGGCCGTGCCCACACAGACGCCTCAATGGCTATGATCCGATTGACAGACTAGACTCCACCCCTTCACTCATAATCCTCTCAAATTGACAATGATATAACTACCAGCGTGGTGTTGAGCAACTCTTGTCTCTTTAGTCTTATCGATATCTATAGGGCCCGCGTTGGCAAGTTTTCAGAAATTGGTCACCAGGCCTTTCTTCCTAGCCTGTCTTGGCTTTGTGTGCCCTGCTGAAACCTACCATGGGTGACCCTGGTATTTGAACTACCCGTGACCCACCTTCCAGCATCGCTGCGACATGCTGGCTACCACACCAGGACACGCTAACAGACAGGTGGTCTCAGAAGAGCACAACCAGAATAGGACACATCTCACTTTCTTCAGACGTGTCCCCAGAAAGACCAACCGCTGGAAAAGGGCCTCCTGTTCTGGTAGCGGGGCGACAAGAGAAACTCTCGTGAGATGGAGCGGCACTACCGTGCCACCACCACGGGCTCCAGCACACCAGCAAAGGAGAATGGTGCAGGACCAGACAGCGTTGTCCTCCCCTGATGTCGGGTCACCGTGGTTCCCGGTGCCCACACAGTGCCCACACGGTGCCGGCTGACCGCAGCAGCATCCCTTTAGTGGATTCCCGCATGGGTCCTCCTTCCAAACATGCTTCTACACTCTGTCCAAGTTCTCCCCGTTTGGTTCCCTGTCTGGAGACCATTTCTGTGATCGGAAGTTGATTCGCCTGCCCTACTTCTCCCTGTGAGGGACCCCTTGTGGCATGACACGTCGGGCCTCTCACTGCCACTGAGTCAATTTTGACTCCTAGCAACCCTACAGGACAGGGTAGGACTGCCCGTTGGGGATTTCTGAGACTGTAACTCTTTACAGGGGCTGAAAGCCTTGTCTCTCTCACTCGGAGTGGCTAGTGATTTCGAACTGCCGGCCTTGCGGTTAGCAGCCCATTGCATAACCACTACGCCGCCAGGACTCTTTTCGAACCACAGAGTAGTCAGCCGTTTGAAACTTCCAGTCCCTCCCTGGGAGACAGATGAGGCGGGCAGTTCTCCTGTGTCCCGTCGATGGCAGTGAGCCTGGAGTTCTGGGTTGGTTACCTGCCAGGAGGCCCAGAGTAAGCAGTAGACTTGGCCCTTCTGAGACCTTATCCAAACGCAATGACCGCCCAGAGCACCTAATGGGCTTGCTCCATTTCTGCCTCCCCAGCCACGCCCTTCTCACATGCAAAGCCCAGCTGCCTGTGCTGGTGCCCAAGCCAGACCCAAGCTCCAGGTCCAGAAGCCCCAGCAGCTGTGGGGTGCCATCCAGTGACTGACGTGTGGCAACCTCGTGGGTGTGCCACGGGGCTCCAGTGGCTCTAGCCTTTCTCGGGAGTAGATTGCCCGGCCTTTCTTCTCCGCTGCCCCTGGATGTGTTTGTCCTGCCAGCTTTCCAGTTAGTAGCTGAGCACAGAACTCTGGCTGGTCTCTAAAGGGCCCAGCAGTAACACTCCGGTTCCCAGCCACGGCCAGCGTCTCTAACCCCTTCTCCATCCCCACCGAACGAACCTAAGGTGACACCTGGCCTGCTCAAGACTTCTCACAGAAACCTTCCCCTCTCTTCACCCGGCTGCTGGTGCCACAGCCAATCCGGGGAAGCGCGGGCACCTTTTAGACATTTATTTCTGTCCCCAAAGTTTATTAACATGGGACTCCTTTGTTCTCTCTCTCTCTCTCCACCTTCTCCTGTGGCCGCACGTCCATCCCTCTGTCTCTTCCTCTCTCCAGCCTCCCTTTCTCCACTCTGTCTTTCAATCTCCCTCACCCTGCCCTCTCTACTCTCATGCCAGTCTAAATCCCGGGCAGGTCGCTCACTCTAATGACGCCTGTTCATTGGAGCCCACGCTCTGGGTCCTCTTTCCTTTCCTTCCCGTTCCAACAGTTACTGGTTCTGTGTGCCAGTTATGAATCCGATTGTGTTCCCCGCACACAAATTTGTGAATGTATCTGGGCCGTCACTCTCAGTGGGTTAGCAGTTATGAAATTGATTAGCCCCTACGAAGCGAAGGTATTTCCAGTCACCTCCCATGCAGGTGAAAGGTGGGTGTTGAATGAGGAAGAGTGGAGGAGAGTAGACACGTTTGAATTATGGTGCTGGCACAGAATATTTACAGTTCTCTGGACTGCCAAAAGAACAAGCAGCCCCGTCTCGGGAAACATACAACCAGAGGAGGGGTCTTCTTACAGGCAGAGAAGGCTAGACTGCATCTCGGGACCTTGGACATGTTGTCAGGAGAGACCAGCCCCTGGAGAAGGACATCATGCTTGGTAGCGTAGGGGGGCAGCAAAAAAGAGGAAGGAAGGTCCTTGACGAGATGGACGGACCCCGTGGCCCCAGCAGTGGGCTCAGACAGGGACATCTGTGAGGACGGCGCAGGGCCTCGGCAGTGTCTCCACTCTGTCGCACAAAGGGCTGCGATGAGTCGGAACCAACTCGGGGTACCCAACAGCATATGCCGTGACCTGACTGGATCAGCCATAAGAGGGTCTGGTGGAAGACGGCTGTGAATGGATGTAGGGGGCGTGTCCCGGAGTGTGGCCTTGCCGCATCTTTTTCCTTAAAAAAAAAACACCTTTCCTGCCAGAGAGTCAAATTTGACTCACAGCAGCCCCGTGGGACAGAGGAGCACTGTCTCTGCAGGTTTCCACACTTCATGGGAGTAGAACGCCTCCTCTTTCTCCCACAGAATGGCTTGCGGTTTCGAACGGCTGACCTTGGGGTTAGCAGCCCGTGCATAGCTCATTACACCACCGGGACGCCTCACCTTTCCTCTTACAAGAGATAACAGGAGGGAGAAGTGGGCAGAGAGAAAGGGACTTGCCTCCACCAAGAAAGAAGTACTGGGAACAGCATATCCTTTGGACCCAGAGTCCCTCTGCTGAGAGCCTCCTAGATCCATGGGGAAGTTGATGCCAAGACACATGGAGACCTCCAGGGGATTCCAGGCCTACAGATGCCAAACAAGGGCTTCCCTAGAGCCAGCAGAGAGCAAAGGCCTTCCTGGGGAGCCAGTGCCCTGAGAACACATCCTACCCCCCTCCGGCTGTGAGGGAGGGTCCACTTCTGTTGGCCGAAGCCATCCACTTGCGGGATTTCTGTTCCAGCGCCCTGGACAAGAAAGACAATGCTGCTGAGTCAGTGCTGACTCTTAGCAGCCCAGGGGGACCCATTCTGCCCCATGGAGCAGGTGGTAGGCTCGATGGCCCCCCCTTTCATCAGCAGCCCGGCCCCTGGGAGAGAAGAAGAACATTTGGCGTCTGTTGTCATGTGAGTGGAAAGATGGAGTGAGGTTTGGCTGCCTGTTTTCCTTCTTGCGGTAGAAACATAGCACACAACACACTTGCCGGTGCTGCAGGTTTGACACAGAGTCCCTAGCAGTAATGGCACACAGCCTGCGGTACGGCCATCGCTACGGCCTCTTTTGAGTCATTCGGCACCCCTCCCAGAAGCCCCGTGCCCGCTCAGGGACAGCACAGCAGACCCAGTGTTCTGCATCTGCGGTGCCGGTGCCGCCCACCGATGCTGCCTGCAGTCCCCGAGTGCCCATCTGCTCGGCGCTCAGGGTGCCTGAGAACGGAGGTGATGGGCCCAGGGGGTGGGACCAGCAGCTGTGACCTTCTCTCCCTGACCTCTCCCCCACCCCACCCCCAGCTCTGGAGAACATCTGAGTGTCTCATCAGGGCCACACTGAACAGGAAGCAAAAACCCTTCAGAAATAAGCAAGGCCCCCACAGCCGTTGAGACCCTCCGGGAAGGTGCAGGGCTGTGTTCGCTGTGTGTGACCGGTTTGCAGTCCATCGCCGTCAATGTGCATGAGTTTCTAAACCTTGCGTCTCAGCCCTCGTTGCCATCAGGGGAGCGGATGCCAAGTGCAGGTGGAGGGGCTTCAGAAAACTCAAGTGCCTTGCTAGCGTGGGTTGCAGCTGACCAAAACACCTAGTCAGGGGCCGTGCAAAGAATGAGACTTGGATTCTGGGTACGGCGTTGTTCTCGGAAGGTGTCGTTGTGGAACGCCATCTTTGTGTGTTTGCTACTGTCTTAGGTCAGCGGTTTGAAACCACCGGCCGCTCCTTGGGAGAAAGACAAAGCTTTCGTTCCGGAATGAGTTGCAGTCTGGGAGACCCACAGGGGCGGTTCCACCCTGCCCTCCAGGGTCGCCGTGCGACAAACCTGACTCTCCTGTTCTGTATGAAGAGGCACCTGGGCCCCTTGTTTCAAAAGATTCGGAAGAAAACCGTTGCCAGGGACATGATTCTGACTCATGGTGACTCCGTGTGGGTCCGCGTGGACTGTGTGCCCCATAGGGGTTTTCAGTGGCTGGTTTTTAGCAGTCTAGCCCCAGGCCCTTCTTGTGAGGCCCCCCTGGGTGGGCCTGAACCTTTAGCAGCTGCTCAGTGCAGTGATCAAGGACTCACCCGCATGACCCTGAGGACTCACCTGAGATGCTCATGCCCTCTGCCTGAGTGCCCTGCTGCTAACAACACAGCAGCAACCTCGTTTGATACGCACCATAGAGACTGGACTCCTCTCACCCGCTCCACCTATTCCCAACCTGCCCCATCCTCAGCGGCAACCCCCAGGGGCTCCAGAGAAGGTGTCAGAGCCTCCCGGGCACAGCCCCATAACCCTCCGGAGGCCAGGAGTCCCTGAGAGGCTGTACTGCTGAGCCGGATGGACGGGGATTTGCCCTTCCCACATTCCCGGGGAGCCTGTTTCTCACCCTCTGGGAATGGGACCCTCCCTCTTGGCCTCTGCCCTTTACAGTCAAGTCTGGTGAGCAGAGGGGTCAAAGCACCTGCCGTGTGCCTAGCTCGGGGCCAGGGGCTGCCAAGCCCCTTGTTATTGAGCCCGTGCCAGCTATGGAAACCCTGTCAGACCATGGGCTCCCAAGCTTATTTGGCCTGGCACCCCTTTTCAGAAAAAAAAAACCCCAAACATTACTCCGTGCCCCTCCTGGTCCTTAACCCTGCATCTGGTCTAAAGCCTAGGCGTCTATTTTTACATCCACCCGCTATCACTCCAGCACCCTCCAGGGCACTGCTATAGAGGGCCATCCTTTCAGGCCACCTGGACCCTTTGGTACAGGAGTCCCCGGTGGTATAGTGGTTATCCTTTGGGCTGCTAACTACAAGGTCAGCAGTTCAAAACCACCAGCCTCTCTGCAGGAGAAAGATGAGGCTCTCTACTCCTGTAAAGAGCTACGGTCTCGGAAGCTCACAGGGCAGTTCTACCCTGTCGTAGAGGGTCTCTAGGGGTTGTCATCGACTTGCTGGCGGTGAGGTCGTTTGCTTTTGTTTGTTTTTTAGACCCTCTGTTGACCAGATGGACAGTCCTCGCCCATATCTTCCCCACCAGCTGTGGATTCATAGGGACCCCTTCCCCTTAACCCTCCCTCACCCCAGGCTGTGAAATCTCCAGAGATGTCCAGGCATCCCTGCAGGTAGCAGAGAGCCCTGCCCGCTTCTCTGCTGG